CTTTCACAAAATTAATGTTTTGTTAATATTTTTAATTTAGCACACAATAATTCACAATAATTCATTAATTAATCAAATTCAACAATGTGTGAATATGTGATTTCGGATTGTTATGTGACTCCACCGACGCCATTTAAGCATTTAACGATTTTACTACTTGATTGTTGGCAACGCGAGTATGATAAGAGACCTTACCGACATTTTCGATTTAGTCGTCTTGAATTCGAGGAGAAAATGAATAGAACTTTTTTGTTTTATTTAGACTTTAAAGTAATAGTAAAATTTATCGATTTGCGTATACTAAAATCCGTGGTCTTGAGAGGAGTTTTTGTGATAGGCGAACCCGATATAGTTGCAACTTTTTTAAAAGTTTTAAGGCCGGTTAAAAGAATCGAACTTTTATTAATGCACTTACCTGATTTATTTTTCAAGATTCTTGGCGAATGTGGTTTAGTGATGAGTGCCACGAATTTAATTTTAGATGGTGGATATAACTTAATATATGTTTTAAAAGTTTGTTTTAACAGTGATGAATTTTACAGGTACCCCGTTAAATGAAAACGCGGTTCGTGGCTTGCGTAGCTTTCTAATAGACTCTAAAACGCTGGAAGAAATTAGTGTGGCAAATTGTGACATATCTCAGTTCAAGTTCGCTATGTTAGCCGATGGTGTGCATAAGTCAACTTCTTTGAAAATATTTGATTGTAGTGGATTGATAGGAAATTATATAACGTTGGAAACCAGAAAGATGGCCAGCATTGTGTCATCATTGATTTTACAGAATAAACTGGAAGTTCTTAAACTAAATAATTGTCAGTTTTTCGCACAGGATATGGAAGTAATTGCTGAGTATTTGTATCGCACGAAATCGAAACTCTACGAATTAGAGTTGGCATGTAATAATATTGATTCGGACGGTGTGAGATATTTGTTACGCGCTATTGCCAAGAGTGGTACACTCAAACGTTTGGATATTTCCCGTAATGGTTTGGGTACTCACGGTGGGGAAGTTGTTGCACACTATCTAAGTTCATGTTTTCAATTAGAATACTTGAATATCGAAACCAATAAAATAGGTGCAAGTGCTATGAATCTTATACTCACAACATTGAAGAAGCCTGTTACTCTGAAGTATTTGCAAGTACGTGGAAATGAATTTGACTTGAAGTCTGCCACAATACTTCGGCGTATCCTCAAAGCACTTGTTTTACCTCAAGACACAATTGATATTACTTCAAGATATGACGGTTCTTTCGATAATTTCAGAGTGGTTCCTTATTTTTAGTATGGGTAGAATTTATTTTAAAATCACAGTATATTTTTATTCATATTGAATAAAAATAATGAGTTTAAAATAATTTGTTTTCTTCTGCTATTCATGATGTTTTTGTAAATAAAATATAAAATGTTTTAAAAAATAATATTTATTTATTTTGCAAAAAAAAATGTGGGTTTTTGAAGTTCATTGTGTTTATTTACTTTTTTTAAAAAAGTGAAACTATAATTATTAGAATCATTAAAATTTATAATAATATTGAGCAAAGGAAATATTTTAGAATTACCAAACTAAAAGATATCCAAAATTTATATGACTTTTTAAAATGAAGTACTTAACAAGCCTGATTGTCAATTATATTTGGTATATATCCCAGTAAGTTCACTTCAGTTATGGTGAGAATGATAAAAGCGCCTCCCACCTGCCGCCTTAATATTTTAGGGGCTTCTTTTATGAGTATCTTGGCAAATTTCAATTTAAATAGCAGTCTGAGCTTTGTCAAATATTTTAGATGGTTTTAACTCTTAGGCTTTTAATAATATGGTGGTAGAATGGGCCTATAGACCCAAGGGCATCCCCCTAGGATCGCCGGTATAACCTAACCAAAGTTCACTTCGCTTATGTACTATTGATATTACTAAGTTGGTATTTGTGGGGATATCCAAAGTAAAGATGAGGTACAAGAATGGACCAAGAACACTGCCTTGAGGAACACTTGCACTCGTTGGGAAGTCTTTACTTGTGTGTGACTAAAGTAGTACTTTACTCTGAAAGATCTGTCTACCAAGTATGATTCAAGTACCGCGTGTGAGTTTTGCGGGAGTATCTGTCGTATTTTGTGGATCAGGCTGTCATGCCAGACTTGTGAAACAATTTTCTGTCACTTAAAATACTTTTCATAAATGTATACAGATTATTAGTATTGCTACCATTTTACCAGACTTTAAATTATTCTCTGAAAGTCCGATATAGGTACACCTACAATATAGCAAATGTTTTCTATTTCATAATGATTAGACAAAGAACAATCACGTTCTTATATATTAAATACTCTGTCGTTCAATTTAAAAAGACCGCCTCTATACTTAAAAAGTACTCTCGATTTGTGCTGAGTGCTTTCGTAATAAAAACTATACATAATGTCATATTGCGGCTATGGGTACATGTCATAAGAACCCGACCTATCGTTCGCGATAAAGGATTAATGTTCATTCCGTTTGTATAAAGCTATAATATTATTTTGTGTAATAATATAAGATCCATACTCCGAATACTGGTTATTGAAAGATCCAGTTCTAAATACATATTTTATTAATCCGTGGCCCAATATATGCCTTTGTCAATCGTAAGTTCAGCTAGTATTGTGCATAACATTATTCCGTATTTTTGACTTGAAATTTATGGCGTTGTGTATATCATATGGAGCACTCCGATGCTTTTTACCAACAAAATTAAAATTTTTCCTCTTATATTAATAAGATTGTACAGCGAATGTCTGTAACTTTCATATAAACTCAAGACTTATACTAACCTCATGGAGCATATAATAAATTCTTCAACTGTTCCTTTGAATTCAATATATGGTATGTTAAAAGAATAATGAATATAAGTAGTATATTAAAATATAATAAATAAAAGTTAAATTAATAATAAAATTTTAACTATGCAATGATAAGTTATTAAAGTCTTGGGGTTGAAACCCAATAAAATTTCGCTATTATTTCTAAATTGATAACGAAAAGCTAAGATACTTTTTGAAAATGTCAACTTGCCTCACTCAATACGAAATACTAGTTGAGGTTAAGATTGTTTTAGATAAAATACTTTATCTTTTCAAAAAAAGGATATAAAGGAAGTTCGTGGAAGTGTGGGAGAAATTCAAGTTTAGTATTTCATTTACATTGTGCTTTCACGAGGATTGCTTTATGTTTAAGGACGCATTAGTATGGGTTTATACTACGTAAATTCATTCATAAAATTATCAGAATAGCTTTACTATAAAAGAGCTGCCATATTTTGGGGAAAAGTTAAAAATATTAAGAAAAAGCTATTTATTTATTCCACTGCTGTAATGTGTTTGTTGCTTTTAAAGTGGGTGGTGACAATCATTTATCACTTGAGTCTAATGAAAACTATTTTTCTATGTCAATAAAACTCCAGCAGGGAATAAGTAAAGCTGTAATTTTAATTATATGGCAATGTCCTTACAAAATGGAGAGCTTTTGAAAGCTGCTTGAGCAAAGCTTTCCATTGTCGTCACTTACTGTGTTTGTGGGATTTACGCTCTCAATGCTAAACTTCAACACTGAATTTCATTTCCGGCGTTGCTTCGCTTTGTTTTCATTTCTCAAATAATTTAATTTGTTGCTGTTGAATGTTTGATTGTTTAGTGTTGCTTGTTGTTTGCAGTGAACAAGTTGTTGGCGAACGTCAATGTGTGCAAAGTCCTACTAAGTTCAGTACCTTCGGTAGCTCAACAAAAGTGTGTTGCATTGGTGTTAGGTAAAATCGTTGGTCCCATACGACTAGCAGCAAAGCGTTTCGCACACAAAGAGGACTTCCTGGTTGAGTGTGTTTCGCAACTGATTTTGTGCAGCAGTCACAACGGATTCGTCGAAGTATCGAATACATTCAGAAAACGTTCGACGGACTGAGTATCTTTGCTTGATGTAGAGGCAGTAGGAAATTAAATTAAAAGCTGTGTTATTTTGATTCATTAAAGACATAAGTGCGAACAATATTTTTACGTAACGTGTAATAAATTTCGCATCGAAGAGCAATTCCGTTGCACTGAAATGTATGAAGAGTCGAAGTATATAAAAGAAATGTGTATAAATTTGTGCTAAGATATGTAAAATAGCAAACCGCAAACAAAGTGCACATTCATTGAAAAGTAACCTACACAAAAAAAAACAAAAAAAAAAATAACATCAACAACAACTCAAACTCCAGCCACACTTTAACATTTTGTCATATTTACACTAGGCAAAGTGGTGTACTTCAAGGAAAGCAGTCTGACTGAGGCCTTACAAGCACAAATGACATATGAGCAGCATTAAGCAATTCATAACTGAATTGCATTTGACTAACATTCAGACAACAATAACAACAACAGTAACAACAACAACAAATTATTACACTCCTAACTAAATTGCTTTGCAATCAACAACACCCAATAGCACATTTCTGTTTTATGTATGAACATTCAAAACATTTTAATGTATTTTTAGAAGATATTTCAATGTGAACCATGCAATTAAAGCACCTCCACACAAGGGACCATCTCAGCACATCTTAAGCAATAAGCAATAAGAGCCATCTGTGTACAAAGGACTCCTCTTGTAGGCGTTATCACACTTTTGCCAAGAGTGAACTTGAAAAATAAACTCCCTACCACACAGACACACTTACCGCTTCATACTTGGGGCACATAGGGCAATAGTGCCATAGTGTCATAGTGCCACAGCCGTGAAATATTCTGTTGCATAAAAATGCATATACACCCGTGCCATCGCCACAAACAAAATCATTGAAAAAGTTTTATTGGGTTTTTCGGTGTACCCTTCTTAGGCGCCAAAAATAGGAACTGCATTGTAGCGACCTTCCTGGGAAGAGGAAGAACGTAAAAACGTGAAAACGGAAACACGGAAAAACGGAAAATAAAAATAACTTAATTTGTAGTATCAACAAAAATTAGAAAAAAAACAAGAAATAAATAAATAGAAAGTCGGCAGTAAAAAACTAATAAAAATGAGTGAGAATCGTTGGAATTCCGCAACTGAGTTCAGTTACATACTTCAGCGTCAGGTGAGTATCCTTCAGCCTGTGAAGTAGAAGTACGGCTGACAGAGCACTGTAAAGTGTTGCAAAATTTAATTTGAATTGATTTGATTTAAATTGAAAATGAAATTTTTTTTCGCTTAATTGTCTTAGGAAATTCAATGAAATTATTTTTTTTTTTAATTTTCTTTAAATCAACTTGACAGAAATGCAATTGAGTTAGTGTAAGTTCCCATTGGTTTAATCCTTCACTACAATAATAATATAATAAGAAAAATTATATGAAATTTTCTTCCTTTTTAATACCATCAGTGTTGATGAATTTAATAAGTTTATTTAATTAATAATAGACTGTAATTAATTCCACAAATAGCATGAAAAGTGCAATGCTGCTAGTCAGTTGCCTACTAAAAATTTCATTAAACACACTTCATTAATGAAACCACGAATAATGTTGAGAGAAGTAGTCTACCTTGAAAGGCTGTGATATTATTTAGGCTAATATGTCACTGAGATATTTCCAAGGTCAAGGTGAATACTATTTGTGGATAATTTTATGAGTAACCCTGTGGAAAGTTTAGTTTTGTGTTTAGATTCAAGTGGAGAACACTAATCGTAAAGCAGTTTTGTCTATTAGTTGTCGATAAAACACTTAGTGTGATTTCAAGAAAACGGCTTTCACTTCCAAAAGTGGTACAAGGTTATTTATTTATTTATGATGATATTTATGATGAACAGAAGAAATTACCTTTGATATTCTTTAAGTATTTCATTGACTCTTAGGAGTTAAGAAATACTGGTGGTTACTATTGGTTATTTTTATGATTGCTGAAGTTAAAATTAGATGATGGTAGGAAGATAAGGTTGTATTTGCATTTGAAAGGGAATGGAATTAATCATTGTTCATTGTTGCATTGTAAAAGATTTCTATAACAAAATTCAACTAAATATGGAGTTTTATGAAAACTATATGTGCAGTAAAACGAAATGTATAGAACAAGGTTTCCCAATGTAGAGCATACGCTTCCACAGTGGTCCAATTTGAATGGTAGGAGGGGATAAGTGCTCAAAATTAATGTTATACTTATACGTGAAAGGGCATTAATTCTTAGAATTACTTAAATTATTTAATTTTAAAATTTAAATATTAATATAAGCACTATTAATATTGTGGAGTTGTTCTTCTCATATGCGTTGACAATTTTAGTTTTGAAAATATTGAACTGTGTTAATCAGATTGAGAGCTTCTTCAGTTGTTTGCAGATTCTCTGGAATATAAACTTGTCTTGTTGATAAACGTGTATAACTTTAATTTCAGTTTGACAGAAAGCTCTATATATGAATATATATTTTAATTGGAATTTGAAGTTCCTTATTATGTATTTAGTTTTTAAATTTTGTGTACATGACATTGACTACGGATGCAGGAAAAGAAAATACTGGTAAAGAATTAATCATCAGTGTATTTTTTGAGCCTATAAATCATATACTAACTTGTAATTTTTTAGGATTAAAGTTATAAATTGTTTAAAGAGTAATTTAATTAATTAACTTAAAGTATTTTCACGAAGTATAAAATCACAAAATAATTTGATATCCCTGAACCAAATTTTATTATAATTTATTTAATTGTGTTAATTATTATAATTGTTTTAAATGCTCTAAAATATTTTTTTAAAATAGGTATATATAAAAAAAGAAGAAAATCAATTTAAATTATTTGATTGGTGAAAATTACTTTCTAAGTTTATTTAAAATTTCATGGAATAAATTATAGAATAAAAAAGTTTACATAAAATAAAAATTTGAAAGGGGTTTTGAGAAGTAGCATTTTGTACAATTGTAATTGGAATATGAGCCTTAATAAAGCCTATGAATGTAAATATAATATTTGCTCTATGGGAATTGAAGCTGGAGTAAATGAACTTCCTGTAAAATTTGTTTCTGGTAGTGTCTAATTGTTCAAAAAAAACTAGAAACTAGACAAGTCTGGGTAATAGCAAACTTTTGAATTTAAGGGAAATGAAAGACAACTAGTTTATTAAGTTGATTAATTCATAATATTATTGAAGTAAAACCATTTACTTCTTTCTGTTGCAGTAAAAAACTCATCTTATTAAAAACCAAGAATAATAACTTGGTCTAAGACTTCTCCTTCGTAGTTCATTTAGTTACTACTTATTCTGCTAATAAATGTTGTTAGCTAATTTTTTCTTGATTCGCGTTGAAGTTTTATTAACAAATTATCTATCAATCAGTTAGAGAATTATCTGAATCATAATATATATAAGCATATAATAATATTGCTCTGCAAAAGCTGTACACATTCAGTAAAGGTAGTTAGAGAGTTTAGTAATGATCCAAAACAGCATTGTATTGTCATGATTTATACTTTGTGAAAGGAAATTTCAGAAATATATGATCAAAGTCTTTATGTTTACAGGGATGCAAAAAATTACAGCAACATACTTCAAGTTATAATAAAATTTTAAATAAATCAATAAGATTAATAAGATCTTAAGTACATTTTTAGTAATAAAAGTTAATATTTACAAACACAAAAAATTTTTTTTAAATAAGAAAAAGTTACGAGAATCTTTAAATTCTTAACTTTTGATAACGTAAAATAATAGTAACAAAGCAAATATTTCATATATTCTCTACCTCTACCTCTTATTTTGTATAATTTATGCGCACCTTCGTGACATTAAATGTACTAATTTATTTATAATATTATTCGAAATATTCTATCACTCTTATATTTTTACAGCTTTGGCCCAATATGTTCCTTTTCATGATTCCAAACAAATTTGAAATGGGATTTATATCTGATATCGGGCTATTGTTGATATGTTATTTACTTATCAATTTTTGAAAACTCTCGTAGTGTGTTTGGGATAAGAAATAAGAAAACTGATAAGAAAAAATGTGTGAAAAAGTATTCTGTTATATATATATAATCGTAATCGATTTGCCAACTTTTCACATTTAGACTTTAAAAGAAAAGGTTATCTTACTACCATATTATGATGATGAAAGACTATCTGTATCTTATCTTATGTTGTAATTGTAACCTCCGATTCTCTTATATATATATCTTATTCTGTTATATATGTATATATATATATATGCAGTAATCGATTTGCTAAATATTCATATTTAGACTTTAAAAGAAAAAGTTATATTACTACCATATTATGATGATGATCATATTATTTGTATCTTATCTTATGTTGTAGTTGTATGTTGTAGTCGACTGTTGGCGCTGGTTGACAAGACATTTTCTTTAACATTGAAACAAATTGTGTTTAATATTTAAGTTAATATGAAATTTAAAAATATTTATATTTAGTAAACATTTAACAGGAGAATTCAACAACGTTATATCTACATAAGATCTAAAGTAATGTAATATCAGGCCTAATCAACAACTCATGATGGCTTAGTTATTTTTGTGCAATAGATTGCAGTTTGTAAAAGAAATTTGGATAGAATCTTTGATTACTTATTATTTTTTAACCAAAAATTTGTCAATATACTGTTTTATTAGCAAAAGTAGTCGTTTATTTTAAACTCTTGTTAATAATAAAAATTAAAAAATGTTAAGAAATGTTAAAATGTTGACAAAAACAACGAATATTATTTTTGACAAATTTTTATTTTATATTCAAATTTCTTCTTTAATCTGAAGTTATTTTCGGAAATCTGACAATTATATATCAAATTACCAGTCAATATACCAAATTGACTGGTATTTTGATATATAATTGTATATTGAATTGATACAAATTTTAATGTTTGATAAATCAATAAATATAAATAATATAGGAAACAAAATTTATTTTTTTTCCTTTAGTATTAAAAACAATTCCATATAATTTTTTTTTTCAAATAGAAAAAATCCGAGAAAAAAAATTTATATTATCATGTTTATCAAAACATGTATATTTTATAAAGTTTTCGATATACTTGTACCCTTCAAAGCTTCATTAATTTCGAACAAATTTAATTTAATCTTCTTCTGCCAATTATTCTTTATACAAAAAAGGAACTCAGTTTAAATATTTTGGATTGTTCAGTGTTTAGTTCCGATTTTCATTTAAATTAAATGTAGTACGAAATACACTACATATACATTTATATTATAACTAAATAAATTTGACCTATCAAAATATTTATTTTTTTTGATTTTTCATTTGAAAGTTGATATAGTTTGCAATATCAAGTTTAAAATTTGAATTTTAAGAACTTTTATTATAATTTTCTTTTTGAAATTAATTTCTAAACATGATATCAAGAGATTCACACCGACTCGACGATACTTACAATTGTGCGTGCGTAAAAACAGGACACATTTGCAATACACCACTTTTGCCAGAAGTTTGATCCTGTGTAACGCAATTTTCAATTAATATCTCATGTTCTTCATGAGGGAAAGCACACGTAATATTTGCCGAAAATCATCGCCAGGTATGGTTTTTTCCTCTAAAAGTTTTATTTTATGAATGCTTTGTTGTCGACATATGGGAATTAAACTTATATTCTGCACATCTACGTGATATTCCCTTTTCAATAATATAAGTTTTATTCAAAATCGTTTACGATGAAACGTGAAAACGTAATACAGTCTTTTTTGATTGTGTATAAATATATAGAATATATAAAAAATATATTTTAAAATTTTAATTTTCTTTTATACATGCATTAACTTTTTTTTATGGTTTTTCATTAAATTGGGAATAATAAAAATAAATGAAAAGTCGTGGCCATGTCAGTATACTATTAAAAAACGTAGCTTTCTATTAAGTAGTCTTTATAAAATACAATTAAAAGTGCACAGTTTTGCTTGTCATTTTTTAATTAAAACCAGCATCTTTTAATGATTTCATACCAAAAAAGGAAACGTACCATAAAGGTACGTGCATACAAAAAATGTTTCAGTGAATAAATTTACAATAGTTGCAAGCCTGACATATTGCTTCAGTAATTTTCATAATATCACTAAATATGTGACTGATATAATACAG